TCATTCGTTTTAGTTCACTGTGTTTAAGTCATTTCTTTTTCAAATATCGCTCATATAGAAGTGAATATGGTACCTGTACAGATCAAGTTTTCTGCTAGCAACATATTTCTTACTTAACTCATTTTGATGTTGACCTGGAATATTAGTGCAATTGTTATTCAAAGCGATCGAGGTATAATGCGGGTTTTTGCTTAAGTTCTTTTTTCCAGCAAGGCACAAAATGAGAAGTCTTATATATAAAACATTTCCACTTATTTCTAGCTTTGCTAAAACATCGTGTTCCATTCGTAGAATTCCAAACTTTCTCACTTGTTTTTATAAATTTCATGGCAAGAGTTGATGCCAAACTACTTTTTAGAAGTTCAAATTTTTTTGCCTCATCTCTTAAAATTTTGTTCTAGCTTCATCTTTACTTTCTCGTGAAATTGCTCATTCTAATTCTTGATGAATGTTCTGCTGTTATATTTATTCTATGGTCATAACTGCGAAAAGACGGAACGGTCGCGGGCTCTCTAAATCAATAGTTGCTATTACTGCTGCAGATATCCCACTGCCGTAAATATTGGAAGTCGCTCCGGCGTAATGTTCGCAGTTGGGAACTTCTATTTCAGAAATTGATAGTTGCATCCTTCACTTCTGTACAGTTCTGTCAAAACTTTATTTAAGTCCTCGCGAATAACACTCGTACCCGGTCTTGATCTGTAGCTCAGCGAGAGATCGTAACAGATTGAGGTCTTTACCATACGTATTTACAATCAATGTGACAATTGTTTGCTCTAACTAAGGTCTGCATATTGTCGTTTTTGGGTTTTTCTTCGGAATAGTTATTCTCAAATTGATGCCTTTGCCTTAGAAAAAAACTCAAGAAGTGCAGTATAGACGACCATCTTCTTTCTGACTTTTTCAGGTCATCCCCGACAGCTGTATACTAACAGGGTTGTAACACTGTGGTATCGGCCACCGGAGTTGTTACTAGGTTAGCTTGCAATGTTATCTATTTAATGCTACCTTTTACAAAGCATACCTTGAGGTGATCGACAATATACAACATCCATTGATATGTGGGGTGCCGGGTGCATCATGGCTGAATTATGGACACGATCGCCTATCATGCAAGGCGACACCGAGCAGAAACAACTTACTATGATATGCAACCTTTGTGGTTCTATAGACAAAGATTCCTGGGATAGGGTATGCTTTGAACTCATTTCTTTATGTTTACGCCTATAAAGAGGTGGTCTCAAAGCTTAAAACTATTCAGGTGAGCGAATTGCCGCTGTTCGATCGAATGGAACTTCCGCAGGGTCAACCGCGCATTCTTCCACAGCGTATGCGAGCTTACATAAAGGTTGAAGTTGTTTTGTATGTCTCGATTAGCTTTTGATTATTGGTGTTTGAAGGATGAACTCGCTATCTGTCTCATTGATGAGTTGTTGGCACTAGATCCAAGCAAGCGTCTTGAAGCAGAAAAAGCACTGGATCATACCTTCTTCTATACGGCGCCCTATTC